GGGAAGGGGAGATGAGAGCAGGACGAGGGAAATGGCTGGAATTGAGGGAGGGCAGATTTCAGTTGGGTGTCGGGGGGAAATTCTTCACTATGAGAGTGGTGAGGTGCTGGAACAGCTGCCCAGAGAGGCTGTGGATGGGCATCCATCCCTGGAGGCGTTGAAGGCCAGGTTGGATGGGGCCCTGGGCAGCCTGGGCTGCTGTGAAACGTGGAGGTTGGTGGCCCAGCCTGTGGTGGGGGTTGGAGATTCGTCATCCTTGAGGTCCCTTCCAACCCAAACCATTCTGTCATTCTGCTCACACACTGGTATGGCTCGGCAGCTTTGCTGCTGAGTTTGGTTAGACTTGAGCTGCAGCGCTCCCTGAGAGAGAGGCAGAGCACATCTCAAAGGGAGGGAGGGAGCATCACCAGGCATTTCTGAACAGAAAACCACCGCCAGAAGGGAGCACAGGAGGCAGCAATAAGCTGCCTGCAGCCTCACAGCACACAGATCAGCAGCTGTGGGGCAGGGAGACAAAGCTGCCGCCATGGAAGAGCCACCTGCAGACACAGATTAACACCAACTCCCCTCAGAAGCCCCAGAATGTTCATAGATACTCGAGCCCTTTGCAAACAAGCAGTTCCAGAGGCTCTGACCAGGGCTGAGCAGAAGTGATAAGAGGCTTTCCAAGCTCACACCAACGACAAAACGCAGCCAGCAGTCGTCAGGGAGGGACAGTGAGGTAAGGAGATGACAAACGATTGGGACTTGGCAAAAACCAAAGCAAACCAACCCCAAATCCCACCCAGAACTGCTGTGCTCACCGATGCTGCTGGGCTGCAGCTGCCCTTCCTGGTGCATCACTCAGCACAGGTGGTGAAGGCGACGACTGTCCCGAGCCAGGCCGGAATGATGTGCTCTTCTTGGCTACCTGCTTCCTCGACTGGGCCAGCAGACTATCAGAGCACCTGCAGGAGGGAAAAAGGGCAGCAATTGGCAAAGTGCAGCAGCCCAATTCCTCCCCATGTTATTGACAGCGTCCTGCCAACACGAAGTGAGCAGGTTCATCCTCATAGACACGCAAACCCAAATGTGCATGGCATAAACAATCCTGCAGCAGCCCAACAGTGAGTGCTGACACACAGCTGGTTGTTAAAGGGCACAAAGAAACCCTGCACCAGCAGGAAGGAGCACTCAGAGCTTGGGTTTGTGCTTCAGCACCGAGCAGTGGGAGGAATCAGAGGTACAGAGCACTCCTTTGTCCATGCCAAGCAATAAAATCAGATGAGACACAGGGATGTAACACCAGCATCCACAGAAGGGCTCAGGGGGATCCCTGACAGCCCTGCAGGGGATGCACAGCAGCAGAGAAAAACTGCAGAGATCCTCAATCCATTTTTATGGCTGAAACATAACGCAGCCCAACCAGCCACTGGCTTCCATAGGTGGAAGAACACAGCTGTTATTAGGGCAGAAAGCAGCACAGCAGGGTTTGACAACTGCAGCAAACCTCTGCTTGAAAGAGAGAGGTGTCCAGCACATCTTTAAAACTTCAGGAGCAAGAGAACAAGGCTGCTGTCAGCAGCGTTATAAAGGAACAGCAGTGAGCAGCTCCATGGCACCACAGCAAGGCTGAAAGCAGGGCTGGAGGGGGAGGAGAGCTGACCCTCCCTCAAAGCAAATAAAACAGGGCAGCGAAGAAACCATTCTCTCACTTTTAATAATGTAAGAAACAATGTTTAACCCCAAAGTATTCCTGGAGGGGCACAGCATGCTGCCTCAGGGCAACGATGGGGAAGGGCTGGCTTTGAAACAGCCTGATACTTAAAAGGCAGGACAAGGAAACATCTGTAGTGTCTGCTTGATTAGATCTGACAACAAGATCCTGAAGTCAAAGCCACTGTCAGGAGAGGGAAGAAAATGTGTTCCTGTGAGAATGGTTAAATGGGAATGGAGAGATTCATTGGGCAGTGAGCCTGCAGATCCTGGCCATCCAATTTCATGCCTTCCTGTTGTGCCCCAGGCAGCTCAGGGTGCCCCACTGCCCCCCCATGTCCTGGGGGAGCCCCCATGCAGGAGCCAGCACTGTTTTCTGGGGGATCTCCCCTGGCAGAGCATCTCTCCTTTTGGTTCTGTTGGAAAAGAGGGGCCAGATTGCAGCTTCAATTCTCACGTCTCGGTCAGGATGGCACAAGAAGTGCATTTCCTATTGAATCCCCACATCCAGGGGCAGCCTGAGTCCCATTGCACTGCTTTTGGAGGGGAATCCCATGGTGAGAAGGCAGCTTTGGGGTTCTTACACACTGCTACAACTACAGAGCATCCGGAGAGTAAAACTTCACGTGCTGCACGGCTTCCTCACAGCTGGGGCATCTCCTTTCTCCTCTCAGCCCATGCAGCACAACGCAGTGACAGCAGAAAACGTGCTGGCAGGGGGTCAGGCGTCCATAAATTCGGATGGGAAATCCACAGTGGTGACAAAAATGAACGGGGGCAGCTTCCCTCTCCCCTGTAAGGCTCTCAGGGTCCCAGAGCACACACTCTGTTGTCCTGCTGTTCTCAAACACGCTCCCTTCATCACCATGCTGAGTCCTTCCTCCATCCAGGCCTCCTTCAGCACTGTCCTGGCCCTCCATGGTGGTCCCCCCCGGACCCCCAGCAGCAGGAGATGCGTGGGGAGCTCGGATGGAGCTCAGAGTGAACACATTTGGTCCACGAGCACCCGGACCAACAGCTGATCCCGAATTCTCAGCGCTCTGTAAGCCATTGAGTTCTGCCAGCAGGTCGGTCCAAGCAGAGGAATGCAAGGCAGCCGAGGACCAAAGCCTGGACGTGACACGAGGGAGCAATTCAGATTTTCAGAAGAGAGGCAGCAAGCTTTCTAACTCGGAAATGCAGCAGTGTGTGCGAAGCTTTAGCCCTGGCTAAAAGTGGGCATCTGGCTCAGGGGTGCTCAGCTCTCAGCTCCCCCGCCCCCAGCATCTCCTCCTGCAGCCTTTCCTCTTCAGCTCTCCCCAGAAGCAAAACAAGAAACATCTGCAAAGCCAGGAACCGAGCAGAGCCACGAAGGAAATGTGCACCTGAAGGCTCTGCTATGCAAAAAGGGCAGTGCCCCAAAGGGCTGAGCACTGCAGACGGAACGCAGAGAAGCAGAGAACTGATTTGGGTACTTACTCCATCTCAGAGGGCTGTGGAGAAACGGGCTGTGCTGCCAGAGAGGCTGCTTGCATCTGCTCCAGGGGTTTGTACTGGGTTCCAGCTCCAGTCAGATCTTGTGTATACTGGACTACGGGGCCTTTGCTCCGCACGGCGCCTTGGGGGAGGAATAAAAGAGCTCAGTATCAACACAGAGTTCTTACAACAGCCAGAGATGGTCCCATCAGCCACAAAACACTGTGGAAAGCAGAACAGAAGCACTGGCCATTAACAGTGAGCCACTGGCAAAGCTTTGAGTCACAGCAATCAACTCAGGCAGATTCTGCCTGCTTCTGCCACATCCAGCAGGCAAAGCCCACCGTAAATCCAGCATCCCTGGGAGTTCTGCTAAAAGCTCCACCAAAAAACACACAGACAATGACCCCAGGATTCCCAAATACACAGGAAAGCAAAAAACACTCCGTACCAACATTGGGACGAGTCCTTGCCTGTCCACTCTGCTTCTTTTCCTGGGTGGAGGCAGTGGAGGTTTTCATGCTGAACATGGGCTCGAGGCGCGTGGATCCCCGGTAAATCCACTCACAGCGTTTGTCATCCTGCAGCAAGGAGAATGCAACACTCACAGCATCTACAGCAAGAGCTTCCTAGATGAGGGATGCAGAGCCAGGAAACGTTAGTGATGCTTTTAAAGCCAGCAGAACCCAACTGAGAAGAGGTAAAGCATTGATGAGAAGGCTTGTGGAAGGTCATGCAAACAGTGAGTCGTGCCCAGGTGCTGTTATTTAGACAGCAAGCAGGCACCAATGTGTCTGCTCCTCTGCTGCAATGTGCACAAGTTGAGCCTGCAAAATCCTGCAGCTCCTGCTCAGCTGCTCAGAACAGCACTCCTATTGAACAGAAGGTGCTGCTGGGAGCTTACAGCAGAAAAGGACCAGGACAGAACTGCTGCAGACGATTAATTCTGTTTTGTAACCATCTATAAAGCACTTTGCATGCACAGCTGTGGGAGCAAACCGCAATTAAAAGGGCTTTTGGAGCTCTCATCATGCAAATAAAAGCCTCACCTTCCCAGCAAAGCAGAGATTAGCAGAACCTGTGCCTGCTCCAGAACCCCAGCAAGGAAACTGGGTTCCATCAGGCCCACAGGTTCAGCTCTCACACACAAAAACACCCCCATCCTCCCCACTCAATGGGAGAGGAGAAATGGCTGTACCAGGAAGAGGATTTTGACCAGACTGCTGTCTACTTCTTCCACCCTGGATTTCCACCAGGTCCCCTCCCATTCGGTTTTGATCAGCTGGCCATTCTTCAGCAGCACCATGGGGCGGTTGGGGTAAGCACTGATGTACTCCTCGATGAAGTCCCGGCATGACACGTCCTCTATGTCCTCCCATGTCTTCTTAACTGTACAGAAAGGGAGAGAAATGAGGTTGGGGAAAGGTCCTTTGGCTCTCTTTCAAATGGATTTCTGCTAAAAGCCATCGGGCAGCAGGCTGGGCAGCAGGGCACACAGCCACACCAATGCCTCCCAGTGTGCAGGGAGCTGCAGCACGCTGCTGTGCAGGCAATAAAACACTGCTTCCTCCCATTCTGCATGCAAAGCAAATCTCTACAAGCACAGCGCTGAAACGTGCATGACCTTCATGTTCAAGATAAGCTCTTTGTGTGCCCACGAGCACCCTGAGTAACCCCAGCATGAGAACACAGGGGAGGCAGAGGTCACTCACGTGGCCTGCAGACTGGATACAGCTCCCACTCCTTGACATACGAAGCGTAGCCATCATCAAAGAAGATCAAGAACCTGGATAACAGCACAGAGAACACACGTGTAGAGTTGGGCTTGGAAATGTCACTGAATGAAAGCAGAAAAACCTCACTCTGCCACCTACAAATGCCATGGGTCAGGCATGGCACATGAGGATGGACAGAATTGATTGCTCCTGCCCAGAGCTCCAGGCTTTGCAGCACTGCTGCTTCCCTCAGTGCTTCTGAACCACTCTCCCCAGCCCTGAGCTATGTCTGCACTCCCAAAGAGAACACACAGAAGCTGCCCAAAGGCTTTCCACCAGCACAGCACAACCAGGCCCTCTCCCCCTGGCTCCAAACCTCCGTGCCTCCACCACAGGAGTTAAAATGATGGGAAAAGCGAAGAGTTTAATTGCTCCTAATCTCCACAAAGATATTTTCAGAGCCTCTGGGCAGCAAAAGAGCTGCGTGCTGTGACTGAGAGCAGCACGAGGGGAGAGCTGGGGGAGGGCACACAGGAGGTGTGTGTGGAAGAGCCCAGGGCTGCAGGGGAGATGGGGCCCACAAGGCTGAACCACACAGCACAGCAGTAAGGAGACGAGATAAGGAAAAAAAGATAAGAATAAAAACATGCCCCCAAGTAACACTTTGGATGCAGGGCTGTGCCAGGGTTATGAGAGATCAGCAGAACAGCCAGGAGGAGCACATTTGCAACACGACTAATAGGTACAGAGCTCTGCCCAGATATCCTACACTTATCAGATGGAACTTCACACGGTTGGGTGGAGCCACATCTGAGCGTGGGAGGATGATTAAACCCTCTTTGAATCTTCTCAGGAAGACCACAAACCAAAAACCACATCCAAGGAGTGCTGCCTCTCATCTGCATGCAGCTGAGGGGACTGCTTTAGACCTGCTGCTGCTTCTGGTTATGTACCCAGGCAACACTGCTGGCACAAAACATTTCAGGGCTTCTCTTTCCTCATTCCATGCCCCGAACAGGGCAGGCTGATATCTGCATGATCATTTGAATGAATTACCAAACACAACTTCTGACTCAGGGATCTGAGTAACAGAACAGAAGCTCCACCCAAAGCATTCACGGATAAGAAAAAGTGAAGAAATAACACTGAGCACAACCCTGGGGAGGTCAGAAAGCAGTTTAGCTCCCACTTCAGCACGTTTCCTTCTAATTAAAAAGGAAAAAAAAAAAAAAAAAAGAATGGTTGTGGAGGAGAATGAATACCTGTCTTTATTCTTCACATTTGGTGTTTCAGCCACTATGCCAGCATACAGCCAAACCTGATCCCCATCTTTGTATTTTGCCACAACTCTGCTCCCAACGTAGTGTTTGTCCGGGGAGGGGTGATAGTCGTAAGCAATGTGATTACCAGAAAGCAAACTCTTCCCCTTATTGTCAAATTTCACTTTGTACTTCTTACCAGCACCTGAAAAGACGTTTCAGCAAGGCAGGATCAACAAAGGCACAATGATTCCATACAGGAAGAACTGAGCACCACTCATCCACACTCAGAACCTACCGACCGTCTGGATGGCAATCAGAGTTCCTTTGTGCCACGTTTTGGTTCTCTTCTTGCCCAGGATCCTCATGCCAACCTTCAGATCACCATCATTGCTGAGATCACCCACCCCCACAGCAGGTCCAGTAGACTGGAGAGCACCAGGAGCTTGCTGTGGGGTTTGTGCATCTATCCAAAAAAAACCAAACAAACAGCCACGTTAGAAACATCCCAGAGACTCACTCTGCTATGCTTGCAACTGGAAGCACACCTGTCAGACCCAAAGCAGGGAGCACCCCTGCTTTGCTTTGCTGCAGTCACTAAAGTGCCTCAACCCTATAGGATGGAGCCACCAGCAAGGGAAGATGGCATAAAAAGCTCTCATGTTACAGGAAATCCAAATATTTGGACTTAAAAAGGATTTCAGGAAACAAAATGGAATCTGCACACCCCAATGGGTCTTCCCAACAGGGAAATAGCAAAGAACAGAGCTGTACTTTTCCTTTCCAAAATGAAAACCAAGAGGCCCAGGATTCAGGCAGCATCCAGGCTGGGGTTCACAGGAGTGCCAGCACACAGCAGCCAGCTGCAGAAAGCTCACACTGACCTTTCAGTGCATCCTGGGCATTTGTTCTTCTGTGCACAGCATCCATAAATTTCTGAACATCCTGGGCTGACCTTCTCATTGCTGCCATGGCTTCCCTCAACTGAAGGGAAGGAAAGGAAAAGAATATGAAAGAGTGGGGATTTTTACCCTCACTGAATACAACAACGTCCTGAGCATGCCAGCAAAACCCCACTGCAGAAGTGCACCATGATCAGTTCTATGCTAACTCACCAGAGTCTGATCCTTGGCAACCTTGGGACTGCTATCACCTGGGTTTAGAGAGAAAATAAATGGTTTAAAACGTACTGGGGAGGAAGAATCCATCCTAGAAAGTCACTGAAAGAAAAGGGACCAGACAGAAGCATCTGTTCAAAAGCATTCTCTGGTCCTATCCAGAAATTCACTCAAAAAAGGCCATTTTACTTCCAATCTTTTCCAGATGCAAGACATGCTGCACTTGCAGCTCCTCCACAGCAAAGGCAGCATTTGATGGGGACAATTAGTCCCAGTTCAGCACCTGAACAAGCCTAAACTCCAGGAAGTGTGGGGCAATTACAGGCCCTGGCAGACCACAACAATGCTGATGCCCCTCATGTGAGCTAATGGCACTTCCCATCTGCTTTAGGGCCACCGTGGCTGATGGGCAGCTCTACAGCACTCCAATTCTGATCCCCCTCTGCTCCAGGATGCTCCTATCCCCACTCCTTCCTCATCACCACAGAGCACAATAAGATACTGAACTGTTCTTCCACCCTGAATCAATACTCATGATGTCGTCATCGTCATCATCTGGGATCTCAATCACTTCTGTGGGTTTGGCAGCCAAGTCCTCCTCCTCAGAGCTGCTCTCACGGTACTCCAGGCCCAGTTTGGAGTACAGATCCTTTACCAACATCTCACATTTATGAAAGTCTCTGGGGTGGGAAGAAAGAAAGAGATGTGAAAAGATAAAGTGAGTCCAGACGTATATCCCACAACATTGCAGAAAGAAATAGGAACCACTGGGGAGCTGGCAATTGAACACAGCCATCATGAGGTGAGGGAGAAGTATTCACAAGAAGGATTCACAGTCATGGGGTGATGATTTTAATTATCCCTCCATCATCACATACAAGTCAATCAGCACAGCATCAGCCAAATGGAAGGCAGCACTCAGAACATCAAACTTTGCCACCCGATCTGCCCCATCTCTGCTCTCTGAGACCCAACTCAGACACACAACCACAATTCCATGCGTGCTCACCTCCAAGCATCATCAAAGAGACGATCGACGTGAGCCACCTCATCTTCCTTCTGTTTCACATACATCTCCAGCTCCTCCAGCTGCTGCTTCTTCTGCTTCACATACTCAGACTTCTCCAGCTCCTTGCTGATGATGTCCTCCAGCTCCTCCATGGAGATTCCCATCTCCTCCATCACTTCTTTTTGCAGCTCTTTGATGTCCTGGCAATCCATTTCTACTCCCCCTGGAACCACAGATGGGTGAGGCCACCGTTTATCCCCCACATTGCTCCACTCCATCCCAGCCGCCTCCTGCTGCCCTACAGCTCACGTTTCTCCCCCCATTCCCACCCTCCAGCCCCGATAACGCAAAGATCCAACGTCTCTCTGAGGGCCGGGAGGAAAAAAAGAGGAAGGGAACACAGAGGAGCCGTGCTGCCCAATGGGAACTGGGTCCCACTGCCGTGCTGGGGACGCAGCCAGCAGCACACGGAGCTCCTCCCGCTCCCCTGGGCCCAAAACCCCCCCAAACTCCCCTGCGCTCCTCACCCCCCCCACATCCCGTGTCTCAAACC